TCCCTTCCCTGTCTTTTGTATTCACATCATTCTCTGTATTTGATACACTCTTCTGTGCACATCTTTTCACAGCATATGATGCGGTGAGCTCAGGCTCACAACAGCTTCTGCTACACATCTCTAATTTAGTTAGTCTGTAAGGTGCAAATCTATCCTAAAGCCTGAGACATCACTCCTGAGGAAGGCTGACCAAACCTTGCTTTGATGTACTTTGCCGTGTGTATTTCAAACCTGGCTTCTGCGATTGCTGCTATTGTCTTGCCTCATGTCAAGTATGGAAATCTCAAGCACGAGTAGTCCAAAAGCAAGAAAATCAAGCCCTTCCCTTCCAAGTGGAGAGGAATGAGAATCATCAGTCACAAATAGGCTTCAGGAGCCTGCATGCCTCTTCATTTTCTTCTTTGCTTAGAAATGCTCTCTTGTGATTACCTTCCACTCCTAAAAGAAGTGGCTACCACGAATGCAGTGAACCAGTGGCTTTCACCAAGGACATGCCTGCTGGTTCTGGTCTAGGCTTTGTAACTGGTGATCTCAGGTGCGGCAATAGCAAGAGACTGAACCAAGGAGATCCCATCCAACCCTTTGTTTCTATAACAAGCCTCTTTGCTATCTCCCTGCCACCACCACTGCTGGCTTGCTGCTCAGCTGTGTCTGTTCTAGCCCATGATGGAGCTATGGGCTGCTCTAAGCCCATGTTGAGAGGTGGTACGTTAAAGCAAATAGAACAGGTTAGAAGACATGGGGCAGTAGTTGGTACAGTTGAGATCTTGACATGGTAAAGGCTTGAATGAAACATTGAGAACCAGTAGAGCTCACATCCTACCCAACCTTACTGGTTTTAGTCAAGTGAAGCATGCACATATGTATTTGCAGGATCAGGCCCTAAAATACCTAATGCTATGGATGACATTATGGTAATAACCTAGTTTTTGCCTGTTAGGGATCATGGGTTCAGATATTACTAAGAAATCTCTTGTTTGCTGTTACATATGTAACATGTATCCCAAGTCTTTTTTTTTTTAATCCTATTGGGAATCTTTCACAGTGCCTCTTTGGTAATATCCACCAGTGACACACTCTATATTTCATTTCCTCCCCATCATCCTTTGTCACTGTTCCTGACTTGACTTTTTTGGATCTTCCATTGAATGCAATGTTTTCCCTCAATTGATTGGAGTCAGCCTCTTTTCTAACTCTGCTTCTAATAACAGTTTACTTTGATGTCTTAACGCTGGGTCCTCACTGCTTCTGTTTTCTTTGATCTTGCACAAACTTTGATGCATCCTTTCAAACTTTAGGGAATGAAGCTCAGAAATGTGCCCGTTTGTGGATCATAGAGTGCCAGCTCTTAATGTGTCTTCACAGCAGATGCAGAAATCTGGGTGAATGGTTGAGGTCCTGTTGTTGCAGGACTGGGTAAATCAGCATAACTCCACTGCTGACAGCGAGTGTCACCAGCTGTCACTCTGTTAAGGGCTTGACGCTTCACTTCCTTGCTCCTTGTTTCATAGGAACCTGAGAATTGCCATGCTGGGTCATAGCCAAGGTCCACTACCCCAGTATCCTCTCAGTAAGTCAGTCAGCATCTACAGACCCCTGTGCAAAATGGAAATAAGAATGGAAATAGGTCCAGATAGGAATACTATTATTTCCTATGTGCTCTGCACAGGTATCAGTGACTCAGAATGAAAGGCAGTAGAGAACTAGATCCTAAAATTGTTTTAGGGTTGAGTTTGACGTGAATGAACTGTTCCCTTTCTCCAAAATTCCTTTGTTAACAACAATAGACATACATAGTATCTTCTACAGATTCTCCGAGGGTGGTTACTAGTGGATGGCAAGTTTGTATACAGAGAGAGCATCTACACATGCCTTTAGGAAGTACTAAATGATGGCACAGTAACAGCCACTCCTGCGCTTTGTTGACAGCACACGATTATTTTTAGCTGCTACTTTGCGCTATAATGCGATAGGGAGGGAATGCATTGCTACAGTGACGTGGCTGCAGCAGCACGGTTTGTGCCTGCTGTCACTATGTTGCCGATGTAGTGTCTCATGTAGATGCGCCCAGAGAGATGTAGTTAGCTGCATTTGTCTGAAGTCAAGTAGAAGG